AGCAAAAACATTTAACGTTCCAAAAACGACTTTGAAAAGGCGCTTTAATAAGCAACACGAAAGTACCAACAGTGATTTGGGAGGACGAAGATTAATATTTTCCACTGCTATTGAAAAGGAAATTGTTGACCATATTATCACATGGATGCTCGTTTTTTTGGCCTGATCAGTAAAGATTTACGAAAACTTGTATACGAAGTAGTTAAAAGAAACAATTTTAGCCACAGTTTTGGTAAGGAAACCAAGATGGCAGGCTGGAAATGGGTCAGAGGCTTTTTAAAGCGAAATCCTCGAATATCATAAAAAACTCCAGAAAATACTTCGTTGTCAAGGGCTCAAGCTTTTAATAAACCAAATATATGTCCCTATTTTACAGCATTGGTACATATATTAGACGAGTTTCAATTTTCACCGGAAAACATTTATAACATGGACGAGTCCGGTTTGACAACTGTTCAAATGAGATCGCAGAAGATTTATACTAGTAAAGGTCGCAAACAAGTTGGTGCTTTAAATATTGCAGATCGCAGTCTACATGTTACGGTCGTATGTGCAATTAATACAATTGGAACATATGTTCGTCCTACTTTGATTTTTCCTCGACATAGAAAGAAGACGAACTTATGATCAATGCACCTACTGGAAGTGTAACCTTTGCTCAACAAAAAGGATGGATGACCTCCGACATTGTCTGTCTCTGCTGCAACATTTTTTAAGGTATTCAAAGGCTTCTAAAACCAACCAAGTTTTGTTGTTATTCGATGGTCATGGTAGTCATAAAAGTTTTGAAGCTCTCCAGTTTGTAAAAGAAAACGGTAATATTATGTTTTGTTTTCCTGCTCACTGCTCTCATCACGTTCAACTCTTGGACGTAGGATTTTTTAGACCACTTCAAACTTACTACGGCCAAGAAATTTAATTATTCCTGCAACAGAATCCACTTAAAACAATTACCCAATTAAAAGTAGCCAGTATCTTTAATAGAGCATTAAAAAATGCTCTTCCATCAAATGCAATAAATGCATTTAAAAAGACAGGAATATAACCGTTCAATCCAGATGTCTTCGAGGATTGGCAATTTTTGCCGTCTATAACAACAGATAGAGAAAATTATAAACAAAACCCACTACCAGGATGTTCTGACGAGAACTCACTACGGGAACATCGGAACCAATTGTTTCTTCGATTGAAGGTTTATCAAAAATCACTGGTCAGACATAAACATCATCGTCAGTCCTAAACATCTCGGTCGAAGATATTTGTTCTCCTCCTTTAGCTGGAGTATCTGAAGTAACTCATAAAAGGGGTAAAAAACGGGGTAAAACAGATATTTAAATTCAACGCCAGAAATTGATGGTATAAAACAAAAAATTGTAGAAAAAGAAGCAAAAAATAAAGAAAACAAGACGCAAGAACAGTGAAAAGGCAAGTTCGTGTTTCGACTACAAACACTTCTGAAGACGATTGTGAATCTTCTTTTGAAGAAGACGACTCGGACGATGCAGCTTGCATTTACTGTAACGAACTATTTCCCCATTCACGATCCAAAGAAAAATGGATTCGTTGTTAAGTGTGTAAAAATTGGTGTCACAATAAATGTGCAGATTTAAATCCTGGACGTAAACAATTTGTGTGTGAATTGTTCATGTAACTTTTTTCTTAAAAATACCTATTTGTAATATTATTTATCATTTAGAATATCTTTTGACCTAATAAAATAATTTTATATTTACTTATTTTATACAAAATTCAACGGGTCCATCATGGGCGTATCAAAGGGTCCATCATGAGCAAATATATGCCCATGATGGACCCTTAACAGGATTTTAGTAAACTATGATTAACTTTTGTCATTTTAATTTTTATCAAAAATTGGAAACATTTGCAAATTATACAAATAACAAGACGTTATGTGGTCATATTTAAAGCCTGCTAAGTAAATAATTAAAATTATTATTGAGCTTTTTCCTTAAGGTGTCCATCATAAGCAATAAACACATCTCTCCTAATCTCGGAACATTCGTAAAAGTTTATTCTTGAAATATGCCTTTATCGAATATTCTTTTATCAGCTTAACTCATACTAGTGAGTTAATAGTATATGAAAATTTATGGGAAACAATTTATTGTATGTATTACACATTAATGTTATAATTTTAGAACCAATTAGGTATCTATGACTTTACAATCATACATTTAACTGACTCAATTCTACTTCATGAATCATTCCATTCTACTTCATGAATCATTCCTGAAAAAGTTCCTTTTTCATTATTACTTGTTTAATTCTACCTTTTTCAAACAAAAATTTTTAACTTTACAATTTTATATTACCTACCAACTTATGGTATTGAGTATTGACTATATCTCATTCTATTCCTACCACTACCACATTTTTTATCTTATAACCCCTATAACGTTGATTCAAAAATAAAATATCTCTCTTTTCATTTCTAAAATGTAAACATTCTGTTATTACTCATAATTTTGGGATACCCACACTTTTCCAACCAATTTAAAAATATTTATATTACAGTAAATACAATTTCACGTCCCTCAGATATATACAACCAACTATACATCTCACCATTAGTTACAACTTTAATGCGTTTTTCTCATACAACTTAATTCATCTCTAACTTTACTTTCTTCATATATTAAGATAATTAATTAAATATACTTCATTATTGGTCTACAAGACAAATCTACTGTTTCACATTCTTTCGCTTCCATTTGTGTCTGCTTGTCTTATTATGGTCTTTGATTTTAGCATCTTATGATAAAATTTGTGACCTCATTGGACATTGAATTGCAAAGGAAAATATGTTTCTGGACAGTATCTGCATTTCAACCTTCCGTTCTAATTTGTTGTCATTGTTGATTGTTGCTTCTAGATATTATTTAACCACCTGTAAAGCTATCATGTACCTATTTTCTATTATCTTCATTTATTTTTAGACCGATAATATTCATAAAAGCACAAAAGAATATCATTAAAGAAACTCTCGTTTCTTTAATCTAAGGACGAGAACAATATTTTCTCCCAGAACAGCTATGTCTGATTTGATTTTCGAATTTTTCGCATGGTATATTTGAATGCCAGGTTAAAGAACAATGAGGACAGCGTATATCTGTATCTTAATTCAAAGTTTACATTAAAAGCCTTTGATATTTTCCCTCCTATTCTAATTTGTGCAAAGAAGTTATTTACACACATTCGCATTTACGCAATCAGTTTCTTAGGTATGCACATGCACAGCTCAACGATCGTGTTCCATAGTTTTATACGAATAATTGAATCACAAGCTTCAATACTCGCGATACCTTTTAAGCGTTTGTTGAAGGTGAGTTTAAGAATTGAGTAGGAGTGCCTAGAGATATTAATTGTACGTAGCAAGTATTATAGTAATGCTCATCACTACACCTTAGACCCCAATAATGTTGGGGTTACTATTACCTTACTATTACCAGTTGGAAGACAACTGTTAATAGTAAGTCTATATAAATCACGTACATGATCACATGATGGCATAGTCTTGGTGAACGCTCTGGATCATTTTTCAAACTTGATTGATATAAAGGATGGACCTGCCACAAGGATTTTCCCTCCTGACGAAGCTAAATCTGCTGTAGACCTCACACTTGTTAAGGTTTGTCAAATTTAGACCAAATATAAATAATAAAATATAAATAAATATCATTTGATAGTAAATTTAATTATTACATAAACTAAATAGTATGTTTAAAAATAAGAATTGTATTTACATGAAATTATTATATAACAATAATTAATATAAAAATATAAATAGATGATTCTTATAAAATTTTGACAATCGTTACGAATTAAATATTTTAGTAATAGATATTCTTAATTTTTATTTTCTTAATTTTCCTAATTTTTTTCTTCATATTTAATGTATGTATTTTGTAGGTTACTTTTCCTGCATTTTTTAATTTAAATCTGCTTAGAGTAAATATTTGATGACTAGAAACGAATTGATCGATAGTATTAAATTTATGTCAAGAGACGCTATTCTATGATGCTACCCGTGACGACACCATCTTGTGGCACTACTTACGTGACGGTCGCCTCAGCATTTTACTGTAAAAAAAGTAAAACAACGACAGTATAGAAGCTTCGCTTCAAAAAAACACTAAACAAGTCGATTGGGAAATTAAGTTCCAATCGTTTACTAGGATTAAAAATATTGATACTGTTATAAATACCCAAATATTTCATCTACATCTCTAAATGTGATAAGCTTCATCTTTCGAAAAATGGATACTAACTACGTTAGATGCCTTTTTAAGCATGCTACAATAAATGGATATTAACAGTGTCGACGGCTTTTGAAAATTGTTGAGAAAAGTAAAAATTTTTATTTGAAGCTATCTCTAAACAAAAATTACTCTAGCGCTAAACGTTGTTTCTCTGCTCCATTTAAACAGTCGTAATCACAATATCGGACCTATTTTATGGCAATTTTTCAAACGCGCTAAACATAAAATTTAATTTTTTTTCCAATACATAGGTTTTATTAATATAAAATGGTAGAACCTTAGTTGTAGTAAGTCCTACTGTCTTTCGTTTTATGCAATTATTCAAAACCGTTGCCTGTTTTGTTTCTGTTTTAAAAAAGACTAGTGCTTGCATTAAGTCCGTGTCCTATTTGTATCATCACCAATATTGTTTCAATGCAAATTTTAAAAAGAAATACAGATAATATATTGGTGACAATGGGAGTTCAAGATGAATATGGGAGGACCACTTAGAGTCTGTGTAAAAATGTATAAAACATACGATGATCTATATAAAGTCCATTATGACTTTAGAACTTATTAACATATATACCGACAGACAGTACTTCTTTTTTCTATGGCTAATTTTACTAAGTACGTTATTTTCGATAATAATCGAACTGTTGGGAGACATTGTCTAAAAATTGGCATTGGACTGAAAGCTATTTCAAAGCTAAAAGAATAAACATCTAAGAAGGCACATAAAGTTGAAACTATACAAATTTATTCGGATTCACAATACACATGACATTCAGTACCTGTAAATGCTAACATTAAATTTAAAAAATATGACATTATTCTTTTTTCTGGACATTAGCTACTTGTGGTGCTGGTGCTAATACTTTGTCGTTATTAACATCCACTTTGACTAGATCACTATCCACAGATACCACAACTGGGACTTCATTTGTTGGTTGTGATTGTTCGTTGTTAAGACTGACTTCTTTGTTGACTGGATTAACATCAACGGAAACAGAAGCTGGGACATCACTCGTTAATGATGACTTTACAATGTTAGCAGATTGTGCAACCACATCTTGATTTGTCTGATCTATTGGAGCTGCAACAGAATCATCAGTCTTCACTACCGTCTGTTCAGAAATATTGTTGCTTTGACCTTCAGCTTTTTCTTCTTTAATGGCCGACTTAGGTTCAGTAATCACTGGTTCTTTGGTCTTTTGTTCAGATGAATTTATATTATTGTTGGTTTCTGACTGCTTATTTTGCTCAATAACATTTTTTTCTGGCTTACTAGCTTCAGAAACAACAATAACTTCATTTGGGACTGGAATAGAATCTTCTAGTTTAGGTACAATTTGCTCAGTAGGTGTGGAAATTTTATTTTGATCAACGGTTACTGCCTTGTTAGGTTCAGGCTGATTTGTTGATGAAGCAGATTCTACAGTCGTAGCTGTATTCTGCTCATCAGCTGACTTCTGTTTATTTACTTCTTGTTCACTAATATTACTACTACTTTCAATTGGTTTTTCTTGGTTAGGAACTACTGAGTTATCAGATTTTTGTGCTTCACCAACACTGTTTTCAAGCTGAACACTTTTTGATTCAGGTTGGATGCCTTTAAGTTCTTCATTTACTTTAATTTCCTTTTGTGCCGTGTTGGTTTCATTTTGACTAGCAATTTTTAGTGCTGGTGTCTTTAAGTTATCAATGACATCTTTAGCTAACTCTCGTTCGTTATATCTTTCTCTTAATGCGGTGAAAAGGCACAACTGAGTTTCATATTCTCTTTTTAACTCGGCGTTGTGTCTAATCATCATTTCTAGTTTTTTATGCATTAGGTCATACCGTTCTTTTTCAGCTTTTTGCTTACCTTCTATTGACTCGATCTTGATTTCCAGTTGTTTTACTTCCATATTTCTGATTTCAAGAAGATCCTTTGTGATGCGTACAACTTCTCTGAGAGATTCAATCTGTTGTGTGAACGCCTCTATCTGTAATTCTTGGTTTTTAATAATTTTTGTCTTCTCAAAAATCATACTCTTAGCCTTTGTTAACGTTTTTTCTGATTCCGTCCTTAAAGTGTCCACGTCTTGAGTTTGCTTTTCGTGAAGGGCCTTGTATTTTTTTGCTTGAGCTGCCTCTTCTTCCATTTGAGACATGAGCATTTTGTAAACTTGAATTTCTGCATCTTTTGTCTGGAACAAAGAAAACACTTTAAGTTTGATATTAAAATCATAACGATCATAAAAACATTTACAGTATTCAATTGGGAATAAATTGGACAACATAATAAAATAAGTCTTTGTAAAAAAACTAAGAATACACTAACAAAGTTTAGACTTTCAAGGGTAGAATTTTGTAAGTAGGTATACAGAGTGGCCCAAAAGTCTGGAAACGGCTAATTATCTCGTAAATTACTAGACATGATTATACAAAATTTGAGATACGCCTATTTTGGGATACGGAGATTCCATATTTGGTATTTGCAATCTTGCCAGATTTTCAGTTTCTCTTATATTACTAGTAACTGGTTTTTCAAATGCATCACCCTGTATATTCAATCGTTATTGGAATCTCCTATTAAATACGAGTTCAACCATATGTAACACTTATGATTTTATGTAGTCTGGAAGGTCTTAAATACATAAAACAGAAGTCTGGCAACGCCTAAATTGTTTCAATACATTTTTGATTGTCTAGAAATTATTCGAGATTCATCGGTAATTCATTGCCTTAGCTAAGCAAGACTTGCTGGTTAAGTTTTGTACACTGAATTTTTCCAGTATCTCTAATAAAAATAATCTTTAGGATTGAGATCGGGTGAACGTGGAGGCCATTCTATTCTACCTTGTCTACCAATTTATCGTCCGGGAAATATCTCATCTAAATAACGCAGAACATTTACACCAACTATCTGACGTTAAATTTCTTTCGATAAAAAATGGCCCAATTAAATAAGTACCTACTATTACTGACCATACATTTAATTTTTGTGGTCTTTGATTATGGTTTTCACGCATTCAGTGTGAATTTCACACGAGTTCAGCTATTCAATACGAGTTCAACGATATGTTCACTTGATGTTAAGTAGTCTGGAAGATCTTAAATGCATAAAACAGTGCAAAATATGTAGATTTTAATAAATTAAATAATGTAATAAATAAATTATGTAATAAATATTTAAATTGAGAATGCTGTGATTTTGACATTTGCTCACCATTTAAATTATGAACTAAAATTGACAGACAACGGTACAAAAAGCTGTAAGGTGATTTAAGGAATCTGGAGAAGTAAAAGATAGATACCGATCAGGTTGACCGAAACGAGTTATCAATGATAACAAAACTTCGGATATAAGCAAAGTTTTGTTGAAGATCCACATACATCCTCAGGCAGGGTTGCACAAGTACATGATGTAGGTCATTCTTCAGTCTTACGTTTATTACGTAAAAATAAATTTAAATCATACAAAATTAACTTATTGCAAGAATTAAGTGAAGATGACTTTGATCGTAGATTGAGATCATACTGAGGTAATGATAGATAAAATTGAAAATTATTAAAATTTCGTTAACAGAATATGTTTTTCCGATGAAGCAACTTTTACACTGTGTGGAAGTGTAAATCGACACAATTTAAGGTACTGGTGTGACGTAAATTCAGACTGAAGACTGAATACGTGAAAACCATACTCAAAGACCACAAAAATTAAGTGTATGGTCAGATATAGTAATTACTTATTCAATTGGGTCATTTTTTGTCGAAAGAAATTTAACGTTAGATAGTTGGTGTAAATATTCGGCGATATTTAGATGAGATATTTCCTGGACGATAAATTGGTAGACAAGGTAGAATTGAATGGCCTCCACGTTCATCCGATTTCAATCCTAAAGATTATTTTTATTAGGGATACTTAAAAAATTCAGTTTACAAAACTTAACCAGCAAGTCTTGCAGAGCTAAGGCAATGAATTATCAATGAATCTCGAATAATTTCTAGAAGACAATCATGGAGAAATGTGGTAGACGCCTTCTACCATCGATTAGGGTGCTGTCAACTCACAAATTGAGCACATTTTGAACACTTAATAACGTAACTACTATGTTAAAAAATGTTCTAAACTATCAATTGTTACGTTTTAATGTATTTGAAAATAGTTAGTAGGTATTAAAAAATTTATTGAAACAACTTACGCGTTGCCAGACTTAGGTTTTATGCATTTATGACCTTCCAGATTACATAAAATCATAAGTGTTACATATGGTTGAACTCGTATTGAATAGGAGATTCCAATAATGGCTGAATATACAGGGTAATGTATTTGAAAAACCAAAGATACTAATAATATACGAAAAACGGCAAATCTGGCAACATTGTAAATATCAAATATAGAATCTCCGTATCCCAAAATAGGTGTACCTCAAATTTTGTACAATTATGATTAGCATTTTACGAGATAATTAGCCGTTTTCAGACTTTTGGGCCACTCTGTATATTGTTTTCCAGGTTTATAGATCTATAGGTTTTAAGTTAATTAGGTGTTTTTTGGATTTCGATTTGGTTAGGGTACTCTAACCATATAAGGATAATAGTGTGATATTCTATTTAGTATCTACTTAGCTTCAAGTAAAATTTGGTGCAAAACAGAAGGCAAAGCTTTTTACAGTATATTAAAAATGGAATGAATTGCCTTGAACAAAAAAAGAAACCAAAAAATTTTATTGGAGGTACACAGGTGCTTAGGTATAGTCTAAGATCTTACTGCAGTATTACTATACGTTCATAAGGTAGGTAATCAAACTCACACTTGTACATTCATTTAAAATTAGGAGAATATATTAATAATACTGAACATACTAAGTGTATACAAACTAATAAAATTTTAATTTTTTGAATTGTAAAGAGGTTACTCAATGGAGTAACTTTCTATATGTCTGCATTCTTTTACCATACCAAATACTTAATGCCCAATGGGCAGATTGTTGTACTCAATGGAGTTAATAAAAAAATATATTAATAATAGGTTACCAGTCAAAAACTGACCGAAAATATTTTTTTCCGCAAATCGCCAGGAAATTTTGATATTCCTGTCAAAATTTCTTGAAGAAAAAGTCAGGACTTCCTTACTGTAAGGAAATGTCATTTCCTTACTGTAAGGAAATGATATTTCCGTACAGTTGTTAGTATATTTATAAGTTTGACAATTCAACCTCAATACGTTTCCATAGTAACCCAAGTAATTTTATTAGGAATTTCAAAGCACCATTTATTTGGGAATAAAATTATCGCGTTTTTTTTAATCAATCAATATCTGTCGAATTTTAAACGATTTGCGGAAAAATAGTATGTTTACCTCGTAGGAAAAGCCACATTCCTGGACTCTGTGTTGCTAAGTCTCGGCTTGCACCTCGACTTAGCAATCTTCACAGTCGCCCAGGAATGTTAAGCTTTTCCTACCCGGTAAACAATGTACTATAATTCAAATAATAGTAATTAATTTTTGACACAAATTTTAATAAGTTCATTTATTTTTTAAATAAAATACGCTGCTGCTCATGACGTATATGCATGTTTTTTTTATATCAAATTAAAGCTAATTTTTTTCTTAATAGAATATTATAAGTTTTTCCAAAAAATTATTAAAAATTAGGGTTGCCAGCTTTTAAAACACACGAGGTATCACAGATAAAAAACGCAGATAAAAAAATAATCACTTGTCAAACCAGTGTCGTAAAACATTATTTTACCTAATCTTTGATACCTCACGTTTTTAACAGCTGGCAACTGAAATACTAACAAGAAATACGTTGTTCGATAGGTAACTGTATTAAATTAATTATCAACCGAAAGTGACCATAGAAAGAACGAAAGTGAACGAAAGAAGAAATATGATAACAACGACCAAAAATGTTACATTCACTGCAAATAATAACATAAGGGCATATCAGGAAGAAATAGAGAGTAACCTACACAAAGACGTTCTAGATAAAACAAATATTGCATAACTTAACGAAATGTTGGTGGACGCCTTAAAAAAGGCACATAAGTGACAAGCCAAGCAAACAAAGGTACATGAAAAACTCACAGAAGACACATGAAATCTAATGCCAGAAAGAAGGGAAATAAAATATAAACACACAACGAACATTGCAGAGCTTAAGAATTAAAAAAAAAAAACAATTAAAAAGGCTATTAGGAAAGACATAAGAAACTTTAATAAAAACACAAAAGACTAAACGTTCTAAAATGAAAGTTAAATACAAAAAGTTTATTTATAAGTTAAAAAATAAACAAGGACATGCCATACATGAACAACAAGAAATCCTAAAAATCATTGAAGAGTACTACAGAACATTAAACAGTGTGTCATTTTTAAAACTTACAATGGGCTATTTCTCACGAACAAAAGCTGATATCGAAAAATGATTAAAACCGTTTCTAGGATAGTAAGGGGGATCTAAAATGACAAGAAAGAGAACAATTCCCTAGGCCCCACCCATTACAACCAAAAAAGTTTAATTTGAAAACCACTACTTGTGATACATCATTGAAAAGACTATAAAAAATGCTATTCAATGGTATAAATAATAATTATACTGGGTGAAGCAATAATTAAGATAAATATACGAGCAATATAGCGAACCAACTCTAGCACAATTAGTGTTGCCCAAATGCAAGAACAAGACGAATCTTAGACAGTCTTGGTCTTGGTCTTGCACCAATATTCCTGGTCTTGGTCTTGGTCTTGCAGCAAGAGTCTTGCAAGTCTCGCAAATACCCATTAGCCTATTGCTATTTATTAAACGTTACTTTAGATCTTAGGACAACGTAACACAGTAGGTAGATTTTAAGCTTGAATTAACATAGCCATAAAAAGACCAACCAAATTAATGAATGTCTAAACATCTGACACTGGGTGGGGTTTGAACCCACGATCTAAGCGATCCGTGCCTATGCTCTAACTAGCTGAGCTATCTACCATGTCCCACGGAAGTCAATCTCTTTCTTAATAAGCGTTTGCTTTTAACAAGCTTACGTATGCACAAACATGGTTAAAAAACAAAACAACCAAATTAATGACATAAACTTGACTGTATTTTAAAGAACATTATTAGTCTAGAAAGGGATTCATGGACCCTCACCTTATATGAAATGGAATAAAATAGTTATATAATTTGCCATTTATTTAAATAAA